TGGTGAGAAGTAATTCTACTGGTAACTAATTACTTTTTGGATGACATACTTGTAATTGTAACTAGTTACTTTCAACAAGTAACATGCCCAACATTGGCCACTGGTTACCCGACACTTGTCCAATTGCTGGGGACCAGCAATTTTTAGAAAAAATATTCATTTACTTCATTTTGCGAGAAAATTCATAACTTATAAACTACTGTACTTACATGTTTCAAGCACCAAAATGCTCACGAGTCTTAGAATTCATTTTGATTCATGGAACCAGGAAGACATGAAAGTTCTTTCACAACGTAAATCTGCGTTGGCAGTTCTCAATGTGTAAACAGCTGAAAAGAGTTGTCACAACACCAAATTATTGCATCATGAGTTATATTCTCATCAAGAACAGAAATCACTGGATCATTCAAGGGAGGAAGTTGTAGAGGATGAATAGCTCTTGACACGTGAGAACCAAAATGGGGGGAAGTTTGTTGGACTCAAGTCAAAGTCATTCTCCATCTCTTGCTGATTTCCACGGCGTATGCAGATGGAATATCGGATCCACATCAGCTGGAAGTGCAGCTTTTCTTTGTAGTTCTGAATCTCCAAATCCTTCAAGGAAGCAAAAGCAACATTGTTTCATGCAATTTACTAAGTTAATGCAACTTGGAATTAAATATAACTCCATGTCTTCAGGAAAAGAGCAGGTGAAAAAGAAAAGGACAAAAGGAAAGAGTCAATAGAGAATTGAGACTAATAGTGTATTCCACCTGGAATCCATCAGTGTGATCCTCTGCCATCCTAATGCAGATGCTGCTACTTTTCTCAGAAGAACATGCTTGGAGCAAACTAGCACGTTTATACAGGCAAGTGCTATTACCTCCACAGGTACTTATCCTCAAGTCAGTCTTGTCCCTACATGGGAAGAATAAGGATGGCAAAGCCTTCAAGCTGTCAGTTACCCATACTTTTCAATCATGATCAAAATATTATTATAACTCAATCATCATGGTTCAATCCAGGTCTAAGTATTGTACCCAATGTGTGATAACTTGATCACCATAACTTAGATAACTGATGTCACGCTGCCATGGGCCCCACTGTTGTCCATCGTCAAAGATGGCTCCTTACTAAATTTCAATTATCCCATGCGTCTTTCACGTGGACAGTTGCTTCATTGTATATTTCTAACTTAATCACCTAAACTGTTTGGAAACATGGCACAGCAATTACTGACAGTGCCCTCATGTCTTTATTGTGGAAAAGGATTGGAAGATGGAAGAAAATTGTGATGGTCCTAGGTCTTGTATAAGGCGTTTTTTTCTCAATTGATGAAACAACAGCTCTCATTGGAATATGGGATGACAAGCATACCCAAGCATTGTTTGAAATTGGGAAAGTGAGGAACAAAACCATCTGGATTTCCAATTTTTTGTCGTTATGGCCAGGAAAAGGGCCAGAGATGACTTGATTTATCTGTGTTAGTTAGATGTGGCTCTCAATTATGATTTCCATCTAAGTATGAAAATTCGATCATTTATAGGGGTCCTTGAGGGCTATTGAGTTATGATGATTGAGCTATTAGTTATATGGGTCTAGGTATGGTTTTTGATCATGATCAAGTTATGATGATATGTCAATCATGACCAAATAGTATACTTAAACAGGGTAAGTGAAGAGACAGCTATAAAATCATGGAGATATCAAGAAGATATGTAATGAGAGTTTCAATGGAAGATTATGAAGCAGATAGAAGGGCTATATATAACTCCTCCTTTCTATTGTCCTTACTGCACTGACATAGCATGACACAAAATTTGCTCCACCTAGTAAATAAGACCACTTCTAACTTCATGCCCACAAACTGCTGCTGCCAACTGCCTCATGCCCCACTGCTGCCACAACACAAAAGTAAGATTTACAGTTCTCAAATATGTCTAAAGATGGCACTACCTTTAAAAACAAACTTAACAAACACCTTTTCCCAGATGAATTCAGCTGAGCCACTGTGATATTGTTATTCCCGTTCAAAAGAGCTGACATTGGGGAAGTAACAAATAATAAAAGCAGCCTGACTGAACCCACCTAGGGCAGGTCACTGAAATGGTTAAATGCCTTTTCCTTGAAATTCACCAAACAATAAGGTGATATCAACATGTTACTTGGATAATGTCTCTGTGAACTGTTTCAGCAGCATATATCAAGATACCCTGGATTCTTGTTCTAGTTCCTGGCTGTTTTGATTTATCTAAAACTGTTAATGGAGGCCATGAATGAAATAAAACAAGGGCTCATCATAACTCACAGCATGATAGATTAATTCCTTAGTCTCAGATGGAGTTTTGCGGGATCGCTTGTAGCGCCCAATGATGGTAGGCTCTTCCTTCCTCTGCAGAACAACCACAAGCCTGTTCCCACCAACCAATTTGTACCGACCAACAAGAACAGGCGGTCGAGCCTTTCGGCTGCGCAAGTTTGGCAGGGATTGCAGTGGATCATCTGGGGTAGTCAACATCAATACAGCTCCTTCTGGGAAGAATCTAAAATGGAATGTCATGAACACCCCACCCCACAATTATGATATTTAATAGCAACAACACAACAAATGAAGGATAAGTTGCATGACAAATAGAAAAGTGAGGAAGATGAATTTCTTCCCAGAATAAGAAAATTTCTTGAAAGGAACTTTTCCCTTTTGATTGGCAACTATGAGATGGATTCAGAAAAGCCTATTCATCAATTTTTTTAAATGTCAATCTTAATAGAGAGAAATACTAATTTTATTATGTTTTTGCAATGTACCCTATATTTTTTCATGCTAATCTCTGGATCAAGGAATTCTTTACTTGCAGAGTGGTGAANAAAAATATTTAGCTTTAAGAGGGTTAGGCCTACCCTAAAAATAAGGAACGCTCGACCTCGACACGTGATATCGAAATGGACGAAATCGCCTCTTGATATCACTAACTCTCCTGACTGGATATTTCCCATAGAAAATAACTAATGATTTCTTGGTTTCAGACAATAAGTGAATATGACTCAGTTCAATAAAGAGAAACAAAGGGTTGTGATCTGTTCATGTCTTCAAAGGGGATGAAAAAACAGTGGAAATTTATACTGAACAGGAAAGACATTTGTGAACAGCATGCCAATATTTCCCAAAATACTTCTATCTCTTCAAAAACTTTGGGGAAATGTTTTCCAGGGAGGTCATTGTGTTCAGTGATTTCCCAGTGTATGGGCTAATTTTGAACTAAGTGGTGTTAACAGTTATCCAGAAAAAACTAGCTATGAGAAGTTTTTTTTGCATCTCATACATGTCTTCAAACTGGAATTTGGCATCAAAATGGGTTAACATTTTTCCCTGTTTCAGCATGGAAATGAGAATGATACAAAAAATGTCATGGATCATGATTAATCACTGATGCTCCCATTATACAGTGAATTAGACCTGTATGCTTGCAAGGAGGCACTTGAATTCCAGAATAAACCAGTTCTGCTTTAGAATTATATCAGTCTCCTATTCATCAACCAGCACAAAAAAATACTTGCTGATGCTCTCAGCTTCAAATATCCCAGTCAATATACACAACAGCCCATACAATCACCCAATGACCCCTTGGATCACAATCCAAGCATTCCCTCGTTATAGACACATATGAAGAAGGTACTGTGCAACTCAAGTTTGAGAGAGAAAGGAAGTCATGCTACAAATAGTTTTCAATTTTCACCTGGAAGTGAACAAGACCTACAGCTGAGCATAATGAAAAATCTTGTTTCCAAAAGGTCCCAGCTTCTAAAGTTGATCAGTCTGACTGCTCACCCTCACTCAACTCTCAAGGTGACTTTCCCAAGAGCTGCTGCATATTAGGGCTGCAACAATATTTTATGCTTCTTGATTTAGGCAAGCATAAGTGATCTCACGATATTCAATATTGATCCCTTTCAATATAAGGTGCATTTGTTACTGCTTGAACTATACTGGTAACTATACACATTTCATCCCAGTGATTTGCATGAGGGCTAGTCTGAAAAATACAGCAAGGCATGTGTGAATCTCAGATTGTGGAAATCAGTATTGAAGCTCCAGTCAGCTGAATATTGCAATATTGCATTTGTACATTTAAAAAAATTGAAAAATCCAACAATGGCTTCATAGCCATGGTGAGACCAGATCACAGCCATGGGTTAATAAATCTCTAATTTTAGAGAGTTTTTATGGTACAGATGTGCTGAAGATGGTCATAGTCACTGGTTTTAACACTGATTCTTAGAGTGGCTATGGGTTGAAGGCCTCAAGCCTTTTCACATGAATTTCCATATAAATTGTGGTTTGATATTATTCATAAAAGTGAAATCTCTCCCATGGCATGATACCTAAGTACCTAATGTGTCCCAACACAAGTGCATGCAACTGAATCCTTCTTCTTACAGTAGTGAACAAAATTTTAGCAAAATCTGTCCCAAATAAAAGCTTAAATATAGCATCTATATTGCAGAGATGAAATATTATATCTCTTAAATACATTATCCATGAACCTAGGAAAAAGTTTGCTTCATGGAAGAAGCCTTATTTACATAGTAGGGATCCAATTGGCAGTCCTTGAGCAAACTTCAGACTCCTATTTTATCTAGTCCACAAGCAGTTCTCAAAAAGAGTTTATTTTTATTAATAATATATGAGTCACCTTCAAGTTTGTCACATATCAGGAGAGGGTATTTGAACACTTTATACCTCTATGAATCACAACAAGAAAGCCATGCAAAAAATTTTCTGTTCAGGACTTTAAAAAGGAAACAGCAACATAATAAGAATAAATGACATCCCTCAAGACTAGACATACCTCAAGTAACGAAAGTAATGGACAAGATGCCAGGGTCGATAGAACTGATCCTGGAAGGAATTCTCTCCATGCCTGACATAGGAAGTCTTGCTGATATAGCAACCATGGAAATGAGGTCGAGGCTCCTCAATGAACATTTCCCTCCATGTGGTGTATCCTCTCTGCCATAGGGTCCCTGTCTGTAGACCCCAAACCCTTTCCACAAATCAAAAGGAAATAATTTTCATTATCTTCCTAACATTAAAAAGTGGATTAGTCTCTGAAAGCAAAACTACCATCCACATGCAGCATCTTTTTCTGCATTGAGAGCAGGGGAAAAAGGAAGCACATAGAATTAAAGAATTGCCAGGCTTGTATTGGTCAATGAAGAGCAAGGGACGTTCTTGATCTTTCATCAGCAAGCAAAGAACCAAATATCTAACATTGGAATTGGAACAACAAGAAAATTAAGAGACCTACTTCAATCCTCTAAGACTAGACCTTCAACAAAACAAAATTTAAAATTGCTTTTTGTGAAAAAAAAAAAATTACAATCCAAGATGAAACCCTCTCTTGTAGGATAGGAACCACAATTAGTATTAAAAAATTAAAAAAACAACAAAAAATAACACAACATTCTCAGTAATTGGCATTACCATTAGTCACAAAGTTAGTGCATGAATGATCTTACATAGAAAGGTCTGTATGCTGGAAGAGGCCTAATATACATGAAAGTGGACTTTCAAGTGACATAATGGTAAGCAAACCATAATCAGCTTTCAGCACTTCTCATTTTCCAAATAGGAAGGGTGTTTGAGAGCATACAGAACACACAGGAGACCAAGACCCACCATTAGTGATAAAATCTAGACCTTGAGGAAGCTAGACACTGAGTCCGAATGAGGATGAAAGACAATCTTTTAAGCCACATTCAGGAAGACTTTACCCTGTTAGTATATTTAAAATAAGCCTATACAATTATTAGTTCAAGCTAAGTTTCTGCAGAGTTTTTTTGAGCATACACAAGAACGTTTCACTTGCAGAGGTAATCCTATCCTGCCCTATCAAGTGATAACAGGACTACCTTAGTAATGATGGCACTGCACCTCTTGACTTAGGTGCAGTACCATAGGTACTCTGCAATTTCCACCTTTCTAATACTCCTCAGAAAGAACCTCAATCAAAATAGAAGGCTTCAAGCAAACAAGAGAAACAGAATATAATGCAAGAAGAGTAAAACTCACTTCTGACAAGCCAATTTCCAGAGTTCCTGGTCTCTTGCAAGAAGAAAAAAACCTCTGCAGACTTGTGAAACCATTTCAAGGGACCTCATGTCAAGATCATTGCTGATAACCCATCTCAGCACATAATGGAGTAACTCAACTGGCAGAGCAGAAATATGAAGCCCCTGAAACACCCATCAAGCCTGAGATGATGTGAAGTGCTGGGTAGGGTGCTAACATATCTATGAGAAGACCTCCATACTTTCATACCTCTTATCCAACATTAAAAAACTCATATAATAAAAGAAGTCAGCAAGAATACCCTGAAAAGCCTACTTAAAACTGAAGGAGCTCTCCCACAATAATAGGAAGATTTCATGAAATGCCACATAACTGAGAGATTTCAGCTAAGTCCCACAGGTTAATTGAAAAGGAGGCTAAAAAAGTCCATCACTGTGGCACTGACTACCAAGAAAACCAATGTTCTGAATTGAAAAATGGCAATTCAAATGCAAACATGTTAATCCATAACTTTTTTCAAATTAAATTCTATGATGTGTTGCAATACTTGGATACTCTTTGCTTCATCTCAAGTAGTCTGCAATTAGATTTTTTTCTCTCTCATTGCATTCAGATACCCTTTTCTTATCCTTATGGTATCAGTTTTACAGGTTTTATTTCATTCTCAGATCATACATACAGTACCGCTAGAAAGTTTGAGGCAGGTTGCAAAAATGATCCTTTTTCAAGAAAAAGACTTTAAAAATTTAATGCTCTTTTTTCAAACGGAATGTAAATGATTTATCGCAGTTTTTATTTGCCGAAATTATGCTTTTCTTTGTCATTATTCAATTTATTTCCAAATTATTCGTGATTTCACGCAGGGACACGTTTCGCGTTCTATTTCTAGCTTCACTTTAAAGTGTATTAACGTTAAAAGTTTTTACATTTTGAAAAGGTTTCATCTAGTAAATATTATATTTAATTAATTTTGTTATAATTACTACATTTTTTACTATTTGGAACAGTTATACTGCCAATGATCTCGCAAAGTATATTCGGAGACAGATTCAATTTTCAATTTTTTTTAAGTCTCGAAAATGGGCAAAATATTAAATCTAACTGTTACAGAAAGAGAAATAATCTTAATTTATTCAGAGGGAGGATACTCAAAAGTTCAGATTGCAGCAAATATGAACGTTTCCTGTTGCTGCATACAAAGAACTTTGAGGCACTTCGAGAGATTTTCTACTCATGAGAGCCAAAAACGAACCGGCAGGTCAAAAAAAAACCAACAAATTGGCAAGATATTGAAATTAGGAACGTTTATTTATCAGGTAGAAGACTGATGCCTGGTAAAATCACGTCCTTATACAAGCAATTTGATGGTGTTCTCATCAGTACTTCTACAGTGAAAAACCGTTTAAAGGAGTTTGGACTACATGGGCATGTAGCTGCATAAAAACCATGGCTGCGTCAAGTTAGTAAGAAGAAAAGACTGGATTGAGCTCTCCAGCATAAGGATTCCACAGTCATAATGTGTTAACGAGTGGTCTGGACTGATGAGTCCAAATTCGAAATCGTTAGCTGCAAATGTCAAGATATTGTGCACAGATGGTGAAAAATTTGCAGAACAGTGCTTGGTGCCCACCATCAAGCATGGAGTTGGTTCAGTAATCGTTTGGGGTTGCTTTGGTGGTGATCAAGTAGGAAGCCTTCATTGCATCGAGGGAATCATGACCAAAGAAGCGTACAGGGACTTTTGGAACGGCAAGTATTTATCTTTAGCAAGTATTTATTTTATTTAAGTAAGTATCCCTCTGGCACGAAGCTGTTCAGAAGCCAAACTGTGATCTTGCATGACAACGATCCCAAACACAGTAGCAAGATCTATAAGAGCTGTTCGGAAGAGTTGAAGTGCCGGAAAATCATAAAAATAATGCATTGGCCACCAAAATCGCCCGATCTGAATCCAATTGAATTGTTGTGGGAAGAACTGATCACAGAGAGCGACAAAGACAAACATCATCCACCGAAAATCTCTGGGACATTCTGCAACTATGCTGGAACGGCCTTCCATCTGCTACACTAGAAAAATTTATCAAAAGAATGCCCAGAATCTGTGCTGCCGTCATAAAAATCGTGGTGGTTATTTCAATTTAAATCAAATTTTAATTGAAAAGAAAAAATATTTGCTTTTTTTGCACAAATATGCATTCTCATAATGTAAACTAAGTAAAATTAAATTTTTTCAGAAAAAAATGTTTGATTTTTTTCATATTTATGATTTGCAAAATTTTCCCACCTGCCTCAAACTTTCTGGCAGTACTGTACATGGAATTTTTTCTATTTGGACAGCATAAAAGCAAGTGAACTTTGATAGCACATAAAATTACAGGCGGGAATACTGATGTAACATGGTAGCCCAACTAAGCAGACTGGTAAAGCCTTAAGCTGAACACAGAACATGTGAAGATAGCAAACTCAAACAAAACTTGAACCTTGAATATTTTAAGGAATCCAACCCACCTGATTTTGAACTGTAATTCTTTGAACCAGAGTGAACTCTGTCAATGGCAATTCCATAAAAACCTACTTTTTATATTGAAGTACATGGTGGCTGGAGGTGGACAAATGCCCAATTTCTACTCAAGGTATACTTGTTGGTATGAAGTGTTTTGTTATGTCATATTTGAACTGAAAAGAGCTGGAAGCAATAATTATTTTCAACCTTAAACTGAACCTGAACCTTCTAGTCCAATTAGCAAAATTAACAAAAAAACATACTGGGTTATCATGAAGAGGTTCACATAAGCACTGGATCCCATCTCTTGTGAAAGCTCTTTGGAACCGGATCATGAGATCTGGCTCATCTTCCTCAACACCTCCAATATGACATTCCTGAAGCAAGAGGTTATCAGATCCATCCCCATCTGAAAAATAAATTATATAAAAATGAAAAACTGCAATCAAACAGGTTGGTCAGTAGACCTGGATAGATGGCATTGTTAACTGTCCATTGTGTTGAAAGATTATATATAATCTCTCTCTGAATTTTTCTTGCTTGTTTTGTATGGTTTTGGCATCAGGAATGTCATGTACTTCGAAATGTCATTGGAATTCATGCTGTACAAGAGTCACTGAACAAGAATGGTCATCCAACTAGCCACTTTGCAACACTGCAAAATTGAGCAGCCTCCAGCTGTTCTAAGCCCAGAAACTGGAAGATGGGTGTTTCAAAAAAGTTCCCCACCACTTGACTATCATATGCAAAAGTTAATCCAAGACTTTTGAAAGATGGCATAAATATTTATAAAAAAAATTAATTAGCCAGTGACTTTTGAATCACCTTGTAAATGCAACTGAAACTGTTTTCTATAGAAAACAGTTTCAGTTGCATTTAAAAAACTTTCAGATGGAGAAAGCAAAATAAATTACGTTTTCATGCTTGCTTGTTAACTGCAATCAATTTCTTGAATCAAAGTGGTATCAAAAGATCTCTTACAGAAAACACATGTAGCTTTCATGTATATGATAGTTTTGCCAACCCCTATCATACAAAGTATTGCTGTTCTTTCTTAATAATGCCACACTTGTAGAAACTATTGCACTGAATACAAAGATATGAAGCTTAAAAAGGACACTAAACTCTCTGAACTCCTACAAATGCATACTGTATTGATCAATTCTCAATATTCTCATACTTAGATTGGTGCACAAACAATGAAACTATTGCACAGTATTGACATCATCTAACAATAGCATTCAAGGTAAAAACAAGTGATGTGACAGCAAATCTCAGCGTATGTATGGTCCAGTCACTCTGAGAAGAGCTAGTTGGCAAACCAGATTGACTACTGCATTCATTCTGACCAATTAAGTCATAAAATAATTAGGATATTTTTGACAATTTTTCTTTTCACCCAAGGATGGTGTCACGAACCAACTGTTTTCGCTCATGCGTTTTGTTCTTTATTTCCTAGTTCTGCCTTATTTCCTTTTGTTGTGTTTTGTTCTTTATGTATTCCTTATCCATATTTCCTGGCTGTCATAGTGTCCACTGTTTTCTATGCCAAAATAAACTGATAATGATATTGAATAGCTGGACAGAGACAAGACTGGCTCATGAGGCATTTCTGTTATAAGGGATTTGAGGAATACAGAATGTAATTTGTTTCTCTTTTAAAAACTTGTCATGCATGACATGAAAAAAAGTCACATTTAGAAGAGATATGCTTCAAAACAATGATTTTTGGCACTTTAAGCTATTACAACTAAAATATGCAATAAAATGCTGAATTGAACAAGGAACACTTAATACTCCTCATTTAAATTTATAGCCACACTAAAGGAGCAAAAAAAATGGTTGAAAGGAAAAAAGCATGCTATAACATGAAAATCTACTTCCTATTCATAACATGTTTTCCTGGTTGGCTATAATAGAGCCCAAAGCACCCATATTTGTACAATGAGAAATGTATATGTCTCATGAGATTTTGAAGCCAGTTGGGATGGTATTTTTTCAATGGAAATTAATTATATTGTAGCCTCTTTGCAACATGAGCAATTTATATATAGAACACAGAGATGAAAGTGATTTGTGGCTCCATGGATGCACCATATGCTATTAGACCTAATATAAGCCATATAGTTTACCTGGACTGGGCAGAGGATCAGGTGAATATGCACCATGATTCTTCGTTTGCAGAGAAGTCGTCACCTTACACTCAATGTCAGGATCCAATCTGACTGCTCTCCTGTAGAGGTTAATGGCCTCATGCATATCACCATTCTTCTCTGCCTCTATCCCAGCTTCATACAAATCTGCTGCCTTCAGACAAGTGGGAATAACTTAAAATCAGACAGGCAGAGCCTTATTGTCATGTCGATGTTAGTAGAATCAAGGGCTATAAAAACTTTCCCCAAAGTAAATGCCAGATAGCACCATGATGGGAGTTGGTGGTTGATAACAATATGTTTTTAAAGTTGGGTGCATCCCAAGAAAACTCGAAACTTTGAGAATCCCAAGTTCTTTTTTGAGTGCCTTCTTTCAACAACATTCTATGGTTCCTTGCCATTGGCAGCTTTGAATGAGATGGGATCATGTGGATTTGGATCCAAGTCTCACTGCTGCTGAAAATTTTTATGGCTCACATTCACAAATGAGCAAAGCAGTCAGCAAATTCTAAAGAGGAGCTAAATGATTCAATTTAAATTCAATTTGTTCTGGAATTAAACAGATGGTATTTCAGGCTGTTTGACTCAATGTGGAGGGAGAAAGAGTGGGTTTCATGAGTACATGCATGAGAGCAGTAAGTCACTGCTTTTTGTGAAGCTAAATGAACTGATATGCTCTGAACACAACTGAGATCTTGTTCTATCCCCTACATCTCTATTAATTTAATTAAATATGGGTCTGAACCAGATGTTATAGTTTCCCCTTTCTGGCGAATGACTTAGTTCTATGCTCAGCTTGCATCAGGTTAATTCAGAAAGCCTAATCCAAGTTAAAGCATGTCCACTTATTTGGTAAGCCATATCCCAACCATTGCCTTTTCAGGCAAATAATTTGGATTTCCTCTGGCCTAGAACTGACATTAGGATTGCATGCGCAAAGACATACACAGCGTCAACAAGTATGGAAGCCTGGGAATTATGTCTCAACCTACTGTAAAATCACAATTTGGAAAAAACTTCTCTGCGCCGAACCATAGGAAGAGGTCCTATTAGGTCCATTCGTGAAGAATGGAAAGCCTGTAGCATTAGTCAAACGCTGTCCAGCCTTAAGTCAGCCAAGTATGATTTTGCACTTACTCTAGCAGCTACTGAATCTTCTTGGTGTGTTCCATCATCCCTCTTGTTCTGAACCTTCCCAGCAAGTTCCAATCGCCACTTCGCTCGGAACTCTTCCAGGAAGTTGTCTGTTTGATGCCCATATGCCAATGATGACGAAGACTCAGACGACGACGAAGAATCATCATCTTCATCGGAATCTCCGTCTTTATCATTACCACATCTCCCCTCGCCATTCGATCCCCTTTCCACGCTACCGTGATTCCCACTTCCTTCCATTAGAATGGTTCTGCGTATCCCATCGTAGAATTAAGTTATCTTACAACGATGAGAGATGGATAGGCATATCTCTCGACGGTGAGGATGACTCCGACAAAAATTTCAATCAAGACCTCTTCCTTATCAGGAGGTAGACTCCTCGACGTGGTCGTCGCCATTTAAAACAGTGTTGTATTCAGTGTTGCCAAATTATTATCGGATCATTTATTTTAACCACCAAGCATTTATTTTAAACCTCCGGAAGGTTTGAAAAACTCACACTCTTCCTCTGAATAACAATCCTGCGTCCGGCCTAAGTTTAGTTTCAATGTATATGGTAGCAAGTCGCTTGGCATTAGTTGGTAGAAGTGTGGAAAGCCGTACCCAAAGTTTCACTTAAACTAGAGCTTTAGCCGCCCTCCCGACGTTCCACTCCTGTACGCACGATAGCACCTGGAATCTCTTCTCTTCCGTTCCGAGTATTTTTAATATGTTCGTGGTAAAATCGTATTCGAATTGACTGCGTCGAATTTCAATGTTGCAAGGCCCAAGAAAGGGAAGGAGACTGTAAATGAATTCCTCTTTCTCCCCCCCCCCCCCTCCTTCGCCTGTAAACGGCACTCTCTTGGGTGCCCCTGTAGTTATGTCTTGAGAAATCATGTCAGGTTCGCGTCGTCCAACATAGAGCTCAGAGCTTCTTCACTACATCCTGCTTAGCAGCACCCTTGGATCATGGTGACGCATAAGAATATGCATGGACTTGTTGACGGACTTGACAAATTCGAAATCCCGCAGTTCGGGGTCGATTCGACAGATCGGCTATCCGAACGTTGAGAGGTAGAGCACCCCGAGCTGGGATTCTCTCCGTGCCATTCACATCCACAGGGCAAGAGCGCATGCGATTCGCCGGATTTCGACAGGTCGAGATCCATTTCCGAGGGCCGACGGCGCGCCGCTGGTGAGCACGCATCGCGATGGCATCTTAACGTGAATTCTTTGGACGAATTCTTCACACTCTGCCGAAGAGTGTGACGCACGCAGACGAGAGTGATAAGTAGCCAAGCGGAATGTTGTTTATAATAGGGATTCGTGTGTTAGCCATAAAAAATATATATATCGGTC